AGGCAAAGATGCTGCCCTACAGTTTGGTCATCAAGTCATATGGGTATTTGGCATACTACTGGCCCCATATAACTATGTTTGCCACAAAGGAGCTGATTCCAATCCCGTATGGTCCTGGCACAGCATTTTTGTCAAGTCAGGTTTCATATCAAGCCATAGCACATGAACACATTGCACCCTGCATAATCTTAAGGGTACCTGATCCCAACTGTCAAAGGTATAGTAAGAAACAGAACTGTACCATGTGCGTTGGTATTACACCAGCATAGGGGTGCAATATAGTACAAATGGATATTACTCACTCCACATCTATTTTCACATTTTTCTTCAAAATCAGTGTCATACATGGTCATGTTGGATACAAATATGAATGCGGATTTGATTGTCTCAGTTACAAATATGGATATTTGTGTGTTGAATACCGGATGAGACAGATGTGGACAATGTTGGTCACGGATATTTATTTTGACATTGAGTAAAATAGACAACCCTATATATTTCCAAGTATATTTCCTGTCTCTGTGTCCTGGCTTTTCATTCAAAGTGTTGTACAACCCTAGGAAAGAGGTATTGGAAATATACTTGGCTGAAAAAAATTGAAAATGTGTGACATGTCCAAATAAATATCCAGGATCATACTTAAAGATCAGAGCAACATCTGTTCATAACATTTTAACGTTACAAAATATTCTTCTTTGATAGTCGCATAAAGGAATGGCAAACCAATTGGTTGAAAAGCACTAAAATATAAAAATTATATAAAATCTCTCATATTAAGAAAACATGATTAATTCTTAGTCGAACATCTCAAATTTGAAACTTGTTTAAAAAAAGAATTCTTGTATTAACTTACCATTTATATTGTAAGATTTATTTAAGTTTATTAGAACGTTTTAGTGAAGTTAGAATTTGAACTTATTTTGTGATTCATACAATAGTTTAAAAAAAGATAAGCAATTCCACTTTTTTTTCTCGAAAATTCCACTTTTTTTGAGAAGGGTGATTTCATTCATTAATACCCATGACGAGTACAAATTACATATAGGAACCTGATAAAAAAGAAAATTACATTGGTGCTACCACAGGACTTGTCCAACAACACCCCAGTTCTTCCTCTCCGATCACCATCGACAAAGCTATGTCGAAGGAAGCGGAGCTGAGACATCCTCAGGTGACAAGGTACGGCCATGAAGGGCCATCACAATTTTTGAAGCCACTACCAGCAGCGCCTCAAAGCTGAAACGCGTTCGCTACATGTGGTAGAAGAAACCTTCCCTTTTCTGAGGAAGTATGAGCAACAGCACCTCTGGCAGATCGGAGAGTAACCTTAACCAGGGGAGCAGATTGACCACCACCCCGTCCATGATTAGGGGAAGCAAACCATACCTTACTACTACTTCGTCAAAGAAGACGATAGATGCAACTTACTCACCGTAGAAGCAGAGGAAGGAGCAGAAATCCCATGGGAACATTGTGTCTGCACTGCCATGGGTAGAACTAACCCTAACTTACATATAAAGCTACTTATTAGGAGAAGGCATATACAACCAGACTTCAGATCCTGATTCCCCGCACCCCAGGAGCCAAGAAGGCCACCAGAAGTGCAGGGAACTGGCGAGGATGCGCCGAACCTGAGTTCCCCTTTTTGCTGCTACAGTGAGAACGAAGGAGAAAGAAGAGTCAATTCCACTTTCTTAATCTCTTCAGATGAAATTCTTCTTGGGCTTTAATAAAATGGCACCCCGCACCTGCAACCCACATAGCCGCACCTAATGGATATGTGATACAACTACCGAAATCCAATGTCCGACCTAGCTATCAGGATTATCCAATCATATATCCAAATAACCCACGTATACTACCCTTCTTATATCTGAATCTGATATTTGAAGAAAACTATCCAAATTCATATCCAGTACCTGAGAAAAATATCTCGATACCCAAGAAAGGTATCCAATTCATTATTCTACCCTATTCGAATAGTGGAACGATTAGGAAATATCCATATCAATTATACCCTTACACCAGCAGATCTATGTGTTTGGTTGGGGACGGGATGGGTTGATTCCCAATTTGATGGTGTTTGGTTCTGGGGCGACTCGGGACGGTGCCGTCCCTAAGGGGAATATTCCCCTCACAGGGCGTCCCCATCCACAAAAAAAAAGACCAGATGGGCACGTCTTCTTTGGATGGCGTCCTTGTCCATCTCACAGTGCGTGGGTGGCGAGCACTCAATGAGCGGTGTGGGTGGACAGGCACTCCGACGAGCAGCGCGGGCGGAAGCCTCCCCCTGTGAGCTCATAGTTCCCGAACTCTCCCGCACCCCTTCCTCGATGAGCTCGCAGGTCCCAAGCTCACGGTGACCGGAACTCGCAAGGGCAGCCCAACCTTGTGTGTGCGTCCTCAACCTCAAGCTCTACGTGGGAGGCACGCGCGCTGTGGGGGCTCTGGAGGAAAATGGTGGCGGGAGGGCGCTGTCATACGGCTTGGAGTCGGAGGAGGAGAGCCTGAGGGACTACTCGTGGGTCTTCGACGAGCTGGCAGACGAGGTGGACAGCAAGATGGACCCAACATACGTCCTGCCGCCGGAGAGGTCGCCTCAAACTCGATGGCGCAACGATGCCGTCGTGGTGGAGGAGATTGGCGAAAACTACATCGCAACGTCGGTCTCCCGGAAGTATAATCTGTGGCCACGAAAATAGGCAACGGTTGGTGTTTTAAGTTCGAAGAGCGCTATTTTAAGTGCCACGCCAGATGTTGACGAACATTTTATTTACGAGATGTTCTAGCACATTTTAAGCAAAAAGGAATTGGCAAGGAAGTGTCAAGTGTTGTCTCTGTAGTTCCGTTGAAACTATCCACGGCGGCGAGCTCCCACGCACAGCATGGGGCATGGCGGTGATGCCGCTCAGGTCCATGGGGGTCGTGCAGCGGCGGTGCCGCTCGGAACCGTGGGGTTGGGAGGAAGATTTTTTTTATATATAAAAGGAAAAAGATTGACACATGCACCCAAAATAGGGATTGTCCTATCCCTGAACCAAACAGAAAACAGGGACCACCCATCCCTAGAAATTGGGTTGAGTCCGTCCCATCCCACCTTGTCCCCAAAACAAACACAGGCTAATAGAAGTTCTTACATGCCTTCTAGTTCAAGTACACCTTACATACCAAAAAAAATGTGAAACATCATGGATACATCATTAAATTAACACAAGTTAAATTAGAGAGGTACCTGATCAATTGCCTTTGTCTCAGCAGATTCTTTCTTCATTCTTAAATTCTGTATACTGCGCCTCCTATGATAGAAAAGTGCACAAAATAGAACACATAATATAACCACCTGAAGCAATTGCTGCTACAAATTACATGAGCAAACAATAATAAATACCTCCCATAGTCGTCCAAAGGCTTGGCATCATTCATTTCCACATCAGAATCAGCATCACGTCTATCATCAGGATTCTCTTTGTCTTCATCTTGCTATACCAAACATTAACACAAATTAGTCACAATATGTTGACTTAGTTATTTGCGAGTTACATACATAATGCTATTTTGTAGAGTTTTTCATTTGTATGCACAGAGGAATTGCATGTTTCATTAGGCTATATTTTTTGTATTTATTGGGCTACATTATCCAAACTTTTAAGTTGTTCCAATTTTGTAGATGCACTTCATGGCAATTCGATTATCTTTGGGTGTGTGCTGCACATATGTTAAGGGTTCTTTTATCTTTCCCTTCTTTTTCAGAGTTGCAATTTTTGCTTTCAAAGGTGTTGTGTAGTTTCTCCATATAGTTGCACCTTTGCAGCAGGGACTGCACTTTTAGAATGACACCAGACTTCCTCTGTCCTCCATCTGTTTGCGTTGCGGGTACACATGGTAGAGTCCATGTTCTTTACACTGCCCCCTTTTCTCATTTCCTTCGAGTTTTTGCAGTTCAACTGGTGGTCCAGTCCGGTTTCTAATGCAGTTCCAGGCATACAAACAGAACTATACAACAATAGGCAAGAAATAGCAGAAAAAGAAATGCCTGCAAAACTATGCCAGCATGAACAGGACAAAACTATACTGGCCTTAGGACCAGGATTGTTCAACCAGAGTATTTTTGGTTATTTGCCCAGAAAGAAAGCAGAAGAAAGAAATGTCATTCTCCATATAATTTAAAAAGTGGGGTGCTATATATTAGTCACAATTGTCAATAGCCATTTCCCCATCACTAGTTACTTAGGAGTTGCTGTCCAAGTTATCCTGGGGGGCTTTTATTTTTGCTGTGGCGCAAATTTCCTTTCTTTTTAGCTATGGATTGGTGTGAGTGGGTGTGTTGGGAAGGTTTGTTCTACCCCTTCTGTTTGTAAGATTTCCTTTCTTAATGAAATAACACACAACTCTCCTGCGTTGTTCGAGAAAAAAAAATCTTCCACTACATTTCCAGATTTTCTTACTAATTCGATACAAGAGTTCGGTCTGTGCAATTATTCGGTCTTGTCCACAACAACTCTACTAAAGATGGCCTTATCTTTGTGCCTGAATTATTTTAAAGGACAAAGAAACATCATCCA